AGGAGCAGAAGAGAAGGACGGGAGGAGAGAATGAGAGAGAGATGAGGGTATAAGACGAGAGAGAGGGGGAGGGAGAGATGAGCAGAGAGAGAGCTGCGGACGAGAGAGAGAGAGAGAGAGAGAGAGAGGCAGAGAGGAGGAGAGATGGAGAGTGAGAGAAGAAGAGATGGGGGGGGGAAGAAGGGACTGAGAGAGAGGATGACGAGGAGTGGAGAGAGAGAATGGAAGAGATACGGGAGGAGGGAGAGAGGAGCAGAGAGGAGCGAGAGTAGGGGCAGAGAGAGAGAGAGAGATGAGAGACCGAGCTGAGAGAGAGAGGACGCGGAGAGAGAGAAGAGATGAGAGAGAGAGAGGAGAGAGAGATGATGAGGGCCCGAGAGTAGAGAGAGCGCAGAGGAGCAGGAGCGACAAGAGAGAGCCAGAGAGAGAGAAGAGAGATGAGAGAGAGAGCGAGAGACGACTCAGACGAGAGAGATGACGAGGAGAGAGCATGAGACGATGAGAGAGACTGAGAGAGAGAGCAGTGGCAGCAGAGTATGAGAGTAGAGACGAGATGGAGATGGATCAGTTAGCGAGAGAGTGAAGAGATGAGCAGAGGGAAGAGGTGAGATCACGCCCCAGGGGATGGTGGGCTCGTGAGGAGATCAATGATCGGTTATGCTGTGGAAACACGAATGCACTATGAGATTACACATGATAAAAACACCAGGATACCACCCACGCCATCGCAGGCACGCACGTTGGAGGCACAACACGCACCGCGCTACTATGATGTAACATGTACTAACACTCACTTCATACACACAAACACAGCTGCACGCACCACACGCCGTATGCACACACACACGCACCGACACACACAACCAACCGGTACGCACGCACGCATGCACACACTTACACACACACCGCACGACAAACGCAACACCGAACTGACACTGCACACAATGCCACACACATATGCCACACTTACACACACAACACGCACTGCACACCGCAACACGGAACGCACGGCCACACACACACACGTATGCCACACATCGCACCGGGACACACGCAACACGAACTGCACACCGCACGCACGCACTGTATTGGCACACACTTACACATCACACACGCACCGCACAGCACGCAACGCGAACGCTACGCATATGCACACAAACGAGCAGCAGACTAAGAGTTCTGCTAGCACACGCCCTTACCATGGTAGACCTTGGTTCAGGTGTAGGAGTCGGTGATCGGTAACATGAAGCGGCAACGTCTCCACGTCAGGTTTGCACTGCCATCTCCACGGTTCAGGTGAGTGCAAGTCAACAAACAGCAGCTGCAAAACACGAAGAAACACAAGTTTCATATACACACTAGCGGACACACACATGTAGGCACTGCACACACGCACACACACACAATTGATCCACTCACACACACACAACACGCACGTTACTGGTGGATGGATGAGATGAGATGTTGCACTGCCAGCTCCAACGTTAAGGTGTAGTTGAGTCAAACAACAAGCAGCTGCAAACACGAGAAACACAAGCTCGTTCAATATACACACACACACACACATAGTAGGCACGCACAGCACGCACACACACACATGTATCCACGCACACCACACACACACGGGCACGATGTGTGGATGGATAGGATGGCATGCGTTGCACGCCAGCTCCACGTTTAAGGTGCGTCGTTTAATGTCAAACAACAGCAGCAAACTGCAAACACTCGAATGAACAACAAAGTCTTCAATATTTACACACACACACACACTATGTAGGCGCACGCACACATCGCACACACCACATGTATCCACGCACACACACTACACACGCACGATGGTGGATGTGAAGGATGGATTGGTTGCACGCCAGCTCCACGTTTAAGGTGCGTTATAAGTCAAACAACAGGCTGCCAAACACGGATGGAACACAAGTCTTCATATACACCACACACAGTGTAGGCACGCACACACGCCACGCACACAACACATGTAGGCACGGGACACACATACACACACACGATGGTCTAGTATGGAGGTATGGATGGGGATGGTTGCATGCCGAGCTCACGTTCAGTGTGCGTGAACATCAAACAACAGCAGCTGCAAACACGACGGGACAGCATTCCAATACACAACACACACACCACACACCACTAACACACATGTAGGCACGCACCTACACGCACACACATAGCCTGACAGGACAGCTATGCTGTATGAATGCGAATGGATTGGAATGTGTGGCGTGTGTTGCATGAACGGATTGATGCGATAGATGCGACTCGAGGAATGGACGGACAGACAGATTGGTTGGACAGCGTAAGCGGCATAGGCGGACGGTTATGGAATGCGATAGTTGGAACAGATAACCCCACTACACCCCAAATAAAACAGGCCCTATAAATGAACACACACACATACAAACAACTACCTCACAGGTTACAGGCCCCTCCACCCTGACCCTTGACTCGCTGACCTTGAGGCAGTTAGAGTGACTCAGCCTTTGTGTACATCTTGACTTGGTTGAGCTCGCCGATGAGCGAACGACCTTTGACCTTTCAGACTCGAACGTTCAGCTGGTGCCTCTTCCGCATGCTGCCGGCGAAGAAACGACGAACACGACGTAACAACACCAAGAACGTGCTACCGCCGCTCGGCCCGACGCCACATCCGAGTCACCAGGGGGCGCACCCGGTTCCGTCCATCGTCGTTCACAATCGTGATGCCCGATGGCGGCATGATGTTACCACGGCGAATCCAGTGTTACTTTAACACGGTTAACATTCAACTGTCGAAAAAACGGCGACCATTTGTCCAACGTAAATTTCGATTTTCCCTGTTATATAAGAATCATTCAAGATGAAACCGACAAGAAAAAAACTTGGCCATTTTATATACAAGGGGTTGTTACTGTAATAGACAGGGTTTCACTCTATAACTGCGCTCGAATGAGCAAGAAAACTACCGATAGCATTTGTCTCTTACACACACGTATCTGTTCACGGCAGAATCGATTTGCACAATTAACACAATTCATCAGGAGACAGAGAGGTTGCGGGCGTATCCGCGGGCGGCGTCACACGGCGGCGACGGTTGCCGCGGGCGACGGTAACCGCGGACGACGGTTGCCACGGCGACACTCACGTGGAACTTGAACTCGCTCTTCAGCATCGGCACGAGGTCGGTGGCGACGTCCGGAACGCACGGGAACAGTGCTGCCACCAGGCGGGCGTAGAACGGCAGCAGGTCGAGCCTGGAACGACGAGACACAGCGAGCGTTAGCGCGTTACCACGGCAACCGCATCGCTGGGATGCCGCCGCGACGAGCGAGGCGATTAAACGAATACTGAATGTATTAAACAAACAAAAAACCCGTGGGGGAATTTTTGCGGTTGTCTGCGGTTTCTTTTAGACTGCCCACCTAGATTTTCGCCTAGCCTATCGGTTTCAACCAAGACTAGATTATTACTGTCACCTAGACCTACTACAAGATTTATAGCTAGACTTCCACCTATACATGCAGCTAGATTCGTAACTAAACTGCCACCTTGCTCTGCAATGAGTGTCACTACGATGACAAAGACTGCTGCTATGAGTGTCACTACGATGACATAGACTGCTGCTATGAGTGTCACTACGATGACATAGACTGCTGCTATGAGTGTCACTAGATGACATAGACTGCTGCTATGAGTGTCACTACATGACATAGACTGCTGCTATGAGTGTCACTACAATCTGACATGGATCTGCTGCCCTATGAGTGTCAACTAAGATGACATAGATGCTGCCTATGAGTGTCACTACGATGACATAGACTGCTTCTAACGCCACCAGCTACATACAGACTATCGAGCTAAGATGCGTGCACCTAGACTGCCACCTAGATCTGTGATGAGTCACTGCGATGACATAAACCACTGCTCAAACCACCATCAGCACCAAGTGAAGACCAAGTGTCTATCACAGCTAGACGCACGCACGCACGCACGCACGTACCTTGTTCGCGGCACGAGGAACAGGCATCGCGCGAGCTTGCGGCTAGACTGCCGCCTAGACGTCACTACGACAACATAGACTGCTGCTAATGCCACCGGCCCTTCGGACTATCACACTAAGATGTATGCAGCTAGACGCACGCACCCGCACGCAACACACGTACGTTACCTTGTTCGCGGCACGAGGAACAGGCATCGCGCGAGCTTGCGGCGGTTTCCCTTCGTGTTCAGGTTCATGCAGAAGTCCATCGCTGCCTTGTCGATGAGATCTCTGTTGATGCACTGCAGCAAACGCCCGAGGTAGTCGTCCATGAGATGCTTCATCATGCTGCCACCAGAGGTCTCCACCTCCTCCTCGGCTCCTGCGGCTAGACGAGGAGTGTGTAGGGCAGCGCTTTGATTATTAATTAATAATTCATTGGATATTTATTTACTTATTTATTTCTTATTATTTATTTATTTGATGATTTTTAATTATTTTGATTATTATTTCATAATATTTATTTATTATTTTATTTTTGTGATTTGAATACATGGACATACACATATGCACTCAAACACATGCACGCACGAATGCACGCACACACACACACACACAAACGCGCACACACACATACACATGCATTGCGCACTCACCCACACACACGCCCCACGCAGACGAACACGCACTCGCACACATACACGCACACGCGCACCGCGCCACACACTCATACACATGCATGCGCGCACATGTGCACTCACCCACACACACACACATGCGCCGACACAGACGAACACGCACACGCCACCACATACACGCGCGTGCACACTCAATGATGTTAAACAACCCTTCTAACACCACCATCGACGACGCCGCCCTACTAAGCCTCCCCCCCCTTACCATCTGTAACCACCGCGGGTGCTGCAGCCTCCTCCGGCTCGTGGCTTCCCCCCTCCTGCTTCTCCTCAGCTTCCCGAGCATCCTCTATCTCCAGGTTGGCCATCTCCTCCTCCAGCAGGGCTTCGTCAGTCGTCTCGGCCGCGGTAGGGGGCGCCACTGCGTGGTCGCTGTCCTTGAACAGTATCTGCGGCAGCGTAAAAAATACACGGGAGCGATGAGCGATTCGCTCTTCAAACCTCCGAAATCGCTCCCGTGAGGCTCAAAATAGCTCCCGTCAAATTTTTGACGACAGCTATTTTGTCCACAGACTTTTGAAAAAGAGCTCCCGTGAAAAAAAGGTAATTTTTTCCCTGATCTGCGGGGGAGGGAGGAAGGGAGAGATGGTGAGGGAGGAAGGGAGGAACGTACTGTAGTGCGTAGAGTATGTAGTGGAGGGGATGCTTTATCTTCATGCAGATGGCTAGATCTCCCATACTTACATATATTTACTTATCAGGGCGCGAAATGAGCACCGGCCCACCGGCATATGATGGCAAATTATTTCGAGGGCCGGTAACATTGGCAAAACATCGGCCCTCCGAGCCGGTGGTTTCAGCCGTGTTAGAGAGTACTACATTTTTATTTATAGCATTAATGAGCACATAGCTTATTACTGTTTTACCTGAAGGATATCACGCCATTATTTATCAATATTTTACAAATTTGAATTCGAAAATGCAAGCGTGAAACATGAAATTGATTTTACAAACAAAATTTATGAGGGCTGGTAAATTATGGCGAGGGCTGGTAAAAAATTGCTGTTAACAGCCTTCTGGGCCGGTGCAAAAAATCATGTATGTCACATATCTATGAACACTTATCTGTGGGGGAGGGAGGCAGGGAAGGACGTAGTGCAGTAGAGGGGGCGATTTATTTTCATGCTATGCAGATATCTTGATCTATCTCTCCCATACTTATATATACTTATATATAAGGTTATAATGAATATTCATAACATACGCTGCAGAATATTTGTTTACTTACAGGGCACTGCCTCAGACCCTGCTAGGGTATTACCCTAATATAGGGGNTCCTCCTCCTTCATCCCCTCCCCCTCTCCACCTCCACATGGCTTACAGAGAAGGCCTGTGTGTTGGTGAGTAGTTTCTGGTAGGCTACGATCGCTGCCTCGTGGCGTTCCCTCCTCTCCTGGCTCAGCTCCCCCTTCGTGTGAAGGATGCGTCGATTCTGCCTCTCCATCGCCTGCAGCTCCTTGTGGCTTGCATCGAGGTGGCGACACAGTGACTGGTAGTAGTCGTTGAGCAGGTTACGAATGCCACGCTGCTTCTCCGCCGCGTAGATCTATCAATAAAGATGGCGGTGAGAGTGACAAGTGAACATACGCACGCGTAGATCTAGATCTACGCGGCGGAGAAGCAGCGCGGCATTCGCAACCATCTTTATTGACATCAATAAAGATGGCGGTGAGAGTGACAAGTGAACATACGCACGCGTAAATCTGTCAATAAAGATGGTTGCGAATGCCACGCTGCTTCTCCGCCGCATAGATCTATCAATAAAGATGGCGGTGAAAGTGACAAGTGAACATACGCACACGTAGATCTGTCAATAAAGATGGCGGGGGAGCGACAAGTAAACATACGCACACGTAGATCTGTCAATAAAGATGGCGGTGAGAGTGACAAGTGAGCATACGCACGCGTAGATCTGTCAATAAAGATGGCGGTGAGAGTGTGTTCACTTGTGATCTGTCAATAAAGATGGCGGGGGAGCGACAAGTAAACATACGCACACGTAGATCTGTCAATAAAGATGGCGGTGAGAGTGACAAGTGAGCATACGCACGCGTAGATCTGTCAATAAAGATGGCGGGGGAGCGACAAGTAAACATACGCACACGTAGATCTGTCAATAAAGATGGCGGT